GATTTCAAATTTCCTGTGTTGATAGTGTAGTGAGCAGAACATGAGTGGGAATAATCGAATGTATTCAACACACAATTACAGGACTTGTTAATAAAATCTAACAATCAAATAGTAAATACGTAATTTCCGAAATATCCACCAATTGTCTCAAAATGACTCAGACTTCGTTGTTCTTGCATTTTCATACAAATTGCATCCTGTTTCCATTCTTAACTATTCGATCCTATTGTCTCTTTGCTGCCAGACATTCTGTTCATGACTAACCTCATCTAATATTTATGTCAATATAAGTAGCACACACCACAATAGTACTGCTAAACTTTTATGCTACTACCATTCCAGTTTCTATGAACCGAAATGCTGAATCTCAAAACTTTGCTTTCTAATATTCTGCGAATAAGATAATATTAAACGATTAGTGCTTTTATAAATAAATAATATATTTGTAATATCCCAATGAGTAGAAAAATTGGATTTTCTGACGTTTCGTGACTTAGTGTAAGCCACTTCTTCAGAGAATAAATAACCAAATTCTTTTAAAATAACATCCAAGAAGGATCTCGTCTACATTAACTTAAAATTCATCTTAGATTAATTACCATCAATACAACTAAGTTGATATTATATAGTGTAACAGAGTTTAGATCGGTTTTTTTGTTGACTGAGAGAACTTTAAACATGTAAACATGTATTATTAAGTGTAATATTAATTAGTATTGTAATTGACTTATTTTCGCAGCTAAATGATTTAAACTTAAGTTTTAAATAAAATAGGTTATGACCGACTATGACTAGTCATTCGGTATATGTGCATTTCAATGTGTTCAAATTAATCTGTACTGACTAGCCAAATCAGAGAAGTACTAACCATATACACAAAACTAAAGTAATAATAATAATAACAATCATGAAATGAACTATAAAAGTTATTTAAGCGAATGTAATTAAACCATCATAACATAATTCAACTTTAAAATAAACTCTACTTATGGTATATGTTACATTATTATATAATCAAAGTATAAATAATTCATGGTTCGATGTTGTGTAGATTCGATCATTCGAATGACCAAATAATATAAATAAATGACTTGAAAATTTGCTAAAAAGTCATTTCAAGTTATTAAATCTGTATTATGCATGCTTATATGTTTAACAAAATAATTAAATAATACACACCAAAGGTCAAATATTGTCTATTATTTCACAGAAAATGTAAATACTGATATCTAATGCTGATGAAAATTGAATTATACCGTATAACCATTAATTGGCACTTTTTTCTCCGCATATCTTAATCACTTATGAAAAGTACATAGCAAATAATTCAGTAATGATATGTGATTGATAAAGTCAATAGAATGTGATCGGCACTAAGAAAGACTTGACAAACGTGATATTGGTCACTATTCAATAATCAAATAATTGTTAACATATCTCGGTCCTACATCAGATCAGTCGCAGCTCGAATAACTTTTTGATAATATCTCTGACAGTGAATTTGGGTAAAAGCGGCAACAGTTCACTCAAGATTATAGGCATATCTTGCTGATGAGTATAAAATAGCGTGAAACCTAGGACCATGATTTTCTATCGACCACATTCAACCGACATCTTACATCTATGAAACTTCATTCCTATTCGTTTTCAGGAATTATCAATTTATCATCATAGTTAACCGAAACAACCGATTGGAGATTCCTTTACTCGCAGTATATATTTACATACATATTTATCCACCATAAGAAAAATTGTTTTGATACCATAAGTGTTCAGCAGCAAACTTCTTTTTTGAAACACTTCGTCTGAAAACCGAGATTCATACATTCGTTGAAGCTAATTGTTTTTATGTAGTTCCTTAAATTTACCAGCGTTATGGAATATGACCTATGAACCAATAAATTAACTAATAAATTACTTAGTACTTAATTCAACTGTGATCATAAATGATGTTGGTTAACATTAACTGATCATTAAGTAGTACCCGATCCCATGCTTGTCTAATCCTTACCACTAGTCAGATTCTATCAAACCAGCTGTAATGTATCCACTGGTCTAAGTAACTATATATCATAAGCACTATGTTGAAATATTAGATAGATGAAGGTCATCGACTACCTCCAACCTCCCAACACTGAAATGTCGTTTTGATATTCAGAAGGTGTGTACAAGAAAAACTTCGATTAGAAAGTCTAGTTTGCTCCATAGTCTATAAGAAGTAGGTTATGTTACTCGTTTCCAAATTTTCCATAGTTTATATCAATCATTATCATATTTCACCAGCATGACTACATATCTGTAGTTTTCTTAAAACATAAAAGGAGAGAAATAAATCCAATTAAATCCTCCGCTTCCTAAGACAATAAGACTCGTACATGGTGATATATATTTAATCGGAAAACCATTTTAAAAAATCACTGCTTATCACAATCTTGAATTACTTGGCTCATCAGGCACATTGCTGGCTTGATGGGTCATAACAGTAACCAGTTACTATTAATGGATGACTGATAAATCTTTATCAAAGTGAGAATCTTCAGAACGAATGTCAAGACAGTTCTACGTAGTGAACTACTACAGCGATCATCAAAAAGTTACAAGTGTTTATAAACAATTGTCTACGATAGATACTCAAAATCCGTTGACCGGATACTATCAGCAACAACCTACTGTAAAAGAGAACAAACCAGCTTTCAGCTAAAGAGGAGATTAGGAAAAGACATCGGAAGTGGATAGAACACACATTTAGGAAATCATCAGACTGCATCACAAGGCAGTCTCTAACTCGAAATCCCGAAGGGAAGCGGAAAAGAGGAGGACTCGAAGAACACACTACGTCGGGAAATGAACGCAGATATGAAAAGGACGAATAACAACTGGAAAAGGCTGAAAAGGACTCCCCAGGGCAGGGTTGGATGAAGAGTGCTGGTGGGCGGCGTATGCTCCTCCACGAGGAGTAACAGGCGTAAGTAAGTAAGTAATAAGTAAGATAAATCTTAGTTCAACTTATATTTATATGCATCTATGTACTTTTAGTTCAGAATAAGATAATTAATTATGCAGCAATATGTTGTTAATTGTATTTTCGAATTCACTAGAATCGTTGTTTGTTTTTCATGTATTCTTGATAATCTGTACTAGATTTTGCACCTATTTTACAAGACATAGTTTTCTCCCTACAATATTTTCCTTAAGATCTATAATAAATGATCTTTTTTATAAAAAAAAACATTTATTATATTTCTCTCAAATTCATCCTTTATCAGGATTATTTTAAGGATTCATTTTCAGTTGCATTTTTCCATCTCGTAAGAATTTCAATATCAGTATTTCATAAAGAAGGGTAAACGACAATTTACAACTGCCTGTGATTTTTTAAAGAGGAATTATTTGGTTTGACACTTGTCCTTATGGTATAGTCAATCAAACGCAACGTAGAACCTGGTATACGTGTACATCGTTACCATTCCCTTGACCCCATTAACCCAGACAGAGGTATTCGTACACTAATTGGACATATTTATCGTCTTCAATTTAGAGTGAAACCATTCATTTTCATTCAGACAAATAACTTTTCTTTTACTAAAGACTACTTACAAAATAACTTTATATTCCACATGGTACATATTAATACAGTATTTAGTGATCTTTTTATAGATCACGAGTTCATATGGTAAGAGTAACTAACTAAGTACAACAAATGAAACTTTGAAGACGATGTATCTGATTCATTATTATGAAATCTTTGAATTCAGTCTAAATGATGTTAGAAAAATGTTTTCATAAAAAAACATAATTATACGATTCTGAATGCCTGTCATAAATAAATCATGTTTTCTCACAGAATATTTTAAGAAAACTGTAATATATCAATGATTTCATTGATTAGAACAAATTAGATATTATTCAATGTGTAAAAGCTCATAGATTACATTTGTAAATAAATGTGATGTTCATTATTACCTGTAATTGAAATAATAATGGTTATTATATACAACTGATAAATTAGCAAATCGAAACCATATTGTTTTTTTCTACAAGTACTTTTGTTATTATTTACATGAAAATTACACATATAACATCGTTAAGCATTTAAATTCACTCTACACGACTGTTTCGTTTGTGCTACAATTGCATTCGGAATTAATTACATTCAATAGTCGATAATATATATTTACATACAGACACACATACTATTCATTACTACTATCTAGCTAGATGTGAGTAATCTAGAAACAAGTCGGTCTCATTGACTTTTATTAGATTGTTTTAGGCAAAATCACAATGTTCGATATCATATCCATCTTTAAATGAGTACATCGCAGTAGCTAAATCCTTTACATGTACTTACCATAATCTAGTCTTATATATTTTTTTCGACAAATTAAGCCTGAATTCACTTTACTTCTTGAAATTGACTACATTTCTCTTTGTGCTTAACCACATATACTTGATAGTTTACTTACAAACACAATTATTTCAATGAATCTTTGGAATAAAAATCAGGGTCAAGGTAACAATCATATTTTTATTATCCATTTTCTACATATTTTATTTGACTAATCTTGTTGTAAATACTTTCCGATAATAGTTATTTATCAAAGCTTGTCTATTTTGTTGAAAGTTCATAAATAATTCTTCACTTCAATCAATCTTGACTACTGACCAAACATAATAATAAATATGTTTTTTTTATTTATTTATTTCTTTTAAAAGTACCGGAAATTCTAAGATGAAGAAAAAACACTTACATAGATCATTGAAAAACAAAGTGGAAATTCATGATTAATTTCATACACATAGAAAATTCTACTCGACATTTAAACATTCTAATCAGAATAAAATTTTCAAAATAAAATGGTTTCTTGTCAGTTGTATATAACCTTTTTATGTTTAATCAATAGACGGTTTATACTTATACTTTGTTTTAAAATCTAACTTTCTAATCAAATAAGAAAGCCAGTTAAATCCAGAACGTCAATCTCAGCCTCGGCAATATGAATCTTTATATTTCAAAAATACTGAGTTTATATACCAATCAAACAGACCACAACGTACCAATAAAATATGAAACAATATTTGTACAATTATTAGCCAGATGTGGCTGTGAATAAGGGAGGCAGTGACTAATAGACAGGGAATAATTCAAGAATTGAAAATCGTATAATAACAGTTCTTAGGTTAAGATGAAGCTTATGATAATAGAGACATGGATATGAATAGTTTAGTTAATTGACAATTATACGATAGAAATATACGCACAGTATTGGTCCATCAATAGATCCCAAAAGTTACCATACATTATTGTTGTCGGGACATAACAGGCAGTTCGCACAAGACGCATATATGCCAAAAGAGATTGATCAATTGCAGTCCTAAACAGCATTGGAAAGATAGAAGCAAATAATACCAAGTGAATATACAATAATGAATTTAAATCTAATTCTAATATTTAGAAGAAAAAAGCTAGAGTCAAAAATATATATGAAATGAATAAAGCTATGAACAATTAGAATTCCGTTGATGTAAATAGTTGATTAAGCGTCTAGCGCGAGACTGATAGGTCCTGGGTTCGAATCTCGCGGGTTACGGGATCGTGGATGCGCACTGCTGAGGAGTCCCATACCAGGACGAAACGGCCGTCCAGTGCTTCCAGGTTTTCCATAGTGCTTTAGCTTCAATTGACTCATGATTTCAATCAGTGAAATGAACATTAGCCCAGAATAAATTAGTAAACACAAATAATAAAATAATTCATTTCATTCATTATTAAAGTGCTGAGTGCTTTAAGTAAACGCAAAAACATAAGTGTTTACTAGAACAATAGAGAAATTCTGAACTTTTCTAATGGACGAATTTAGTTGGATTTTTCGTCATGTTAACATCAAGCTATCTAAGTAATACTAATGTTTATTTGATGTTTACGAATTTCAGGACTTTAATTGATCTTATTCAATTGCCCATAAAAAAAATACATAGAAAGTTATTATATAGATAAGTAATTTTGCTACTGAATATCTATATAACAGTGTTACATTTCCAGTTAAAATATGTCCTCAACTGTTCAGTTTTGAATACCAATTCCTTTTATTATTGAATTTAATTCATCATCCTAAATTGTAAGCTGACTTCCTAATATGCACCAACAAAATCCAGCCATCGTTTAGGATAGAAATAAATTCAATATTATGTACAACTAGTTTGTTTAATATCATAATGTTCGTTGTTTTTATCTGTTCTAGGTTTCAGAAAATTTAGTTACTAACTTGAAAATAACCTGTTGGCAGTAATTATCACTGAGTCTTTTCCTAATAACCGAGTAATGAATGTGAATTACTTAAAAACTGTGGTCATGTATTTTCTAATCAATCTACTTTTTGTGATTGTTTAGTTAAATTCACTTCTCCAAAATGAGATGTGCTTGGCCGTTGAGTATTGACTGTCAGACATGAATTAACAAATATTTCGTTTCCTTACCAGTTATGAATTTCTACTCTGGACCCAGCGAGTGGTGATCAGTTGTAATTTTCTCGAATAAAGGATTTCCTAGTCTATCCTCTAACGGTTTGTATTTAATCGTGTATTGTGTATTTAATATAAAGTAATCCAGTTTATATATGACATATCTGTCGGGTATCTATTCTAACTGTGGCAAAATCTAGGTCAACGTCGTATTACCGTGTAATAATAGTATAACATGTTAAACGAAAAATATTTTATTCTTCTGTTAAATTGTTTCTGGCGCTGAAAGGGCCTTCAAATTGACTCACCCACCACATTGTACTTCGAAATCAGATTTATTTGATTAATCGGAATCGGATATTTTGGAATTAAAAATGGGTCAGCTTGTGCTTAAAAGAAAGAAAACTACCAGTACCCTGGAGAGAACTGTGCAAGATTCTAGTGTTTCTCTAGTAGATTCTGGCTAGTGTAATAATTTGGTCTTATTGAGTGAAATCCCAAGTCAACGTGAAAATTTTTCGAATCAATCACATAATCCATATATAAATTGTTCTAACGATCCATGTATTTTTAAGTGAAATCCTTGATAAATAGGAGGCAAATATGTCAAATAAATCAAATCCTGATTAGAATTCTGATGCTATCTTACTAGATATGGGTTGTTCTATTGTATTATTTATATATAGTGAAACCCTAAGTAAGTGTGAAGAACAAGTTCTAAATTAGTTAATGTATGATTACAATTCTGACGGTGTAGCATAAGAATTTGTTTGTCCTCACAATTCCAGTGAAATCTCTAATTAGTGTGACAATATGTTCTACATAAGACAAATTATGATAACATTCCTGATTTTATTATATTAGATGTTGGATATTTTCACAACCTGAGTATATCTAGTAGGACCCCAGTCAATACTTTGATGAATCAGAAGGCATAGCAAACGCTCCCGAGAATCTATATGGTCAAATGCAAAGTTTGAACAGTCAGGAAATTTAAGTCTAATCCCAAGTTATCATAATGAATATAAAGCGAATATATATGTTATATTAAACGATTGTAGACTAATAAATTACAGTTAATTTCACATCCCCTTCAAAATAACTAACATAATATATCATGCTAAATACTGGTCTTAAGGACCTCAGATAATTAACTTTCGTTTTTGGGGGTAGATATTTTATCTAACACTATCTGTTACCTTGACTTGAGGTATTGATTCGCTTTAATGTAACTTTTTGAAAAATCTATCATTTCTCCAACTTAAGTATTCGAAGAAATTTGACATCCGATTGCACATTGCTTTCCTCAGAAATGTTCCTAATATTTCTAATGAATAATTTATGGACGAACCAATCAGACATAAGATAACAGGTCTCGGATTTTTGCGCGAAATTCACTCATCTATTTGGCTAAATAGAGTTTCGACATTATTACTGATGTCGGTTTGTGATGAAAACCCTAAATTTAATTCCCAATCATAATCATCAACTGCAATTCATAATCTCAATTCCTTGCACCGATTTATAACCCTCGTTTTCGTCTTAATTATTAGGTGTAAACTCTCAAGGTCACTTAAGCTTCGCTCAAAGGTAGTCCATAAATTATAGTTTCACCGTTAATTTCTACTAAGTATTCCAACAGGAACAATCTTTTTAAATACAAAGATATATTTCCAAGTTTATTCGTTTCAACCTTATATTCTGTTTGTGTAATCAATGAACATAATGAAAAATATTCCATATGACCTAGTATTTTTGTTATAAGTTTGTATGAAACTTTCAGTGCAGTTTAATTTCACAGAAATTGTACAAGAATATACAGGTATTATGATGTTTATTAAAATTTATACAAGCTATCGTTTAGGTATATTTTCCTTTATCCTAGTGTTTTTTTTTATAAAAACCTTCCTTTACAAGCATGTTTATACTTTGTTTTGTTTGTTCAAATCAACAAACATACAAAGAATTATGCAGTGAACCAGTAGAAATTCAATGGTACTTTCAATACGTTTACTTTTTTTGAAAACAAAACAAGCAATTCAGTAGAGAAACATTAACTCGACAAACGGATAATAATTATACATTTACTTGAATATCAAAAATTATAGTTTGTTGTCAGTAATATGTTCTGCGCATTTGTTGTTCCGGATATTCTAAAAAGAAATATATATATATATATATATATATATATATATATATATATATATATATATATATATAATATCCATCTACCATATAGAGGTGAATCCAACGGTGTAGTTTTAAGACAGAAATTGAAAGCAGCCATCGAGAATACCTATTATGCTGCTCACTTGGTTGTGATTGAAAAGTCTAAGCCCATGATTTCAAAGAGATCTAGACATAGGCAGGAGTAATCTAACAGTGCAATCAAGGGTCATTGAACATGTGCCCAGATGGCTTCAAAACCAATTAGTATCAAATGATCCTATCAATGTGGGAGGTAGAAAACCATGTTCATCGATAGCGAAATATATAATTGAAATGGGGCACAAAATTGACATCAATACAGCTTTTAAATCGTTGTATAGAAATTTTCAAGGACGAATTCTCAAGTTTATTGAAGCCATGGCTATTCGTAAATTTAAACCCCCTCTCAGTTATGTGTACAAAAACAATAAGTCATTATAATTATTCTTTAAAATTTGTAAAAAGAAAGTAATTGCCTGTATTTGATATTTAAACATATGTTACTTTAAATTATACCATTTAGTTATCATGACTTAAGTGTTTTGATCAGTCAATGGTAAATTTATCTATTCAAATACTACAAGAAATTTATCTCCATTGAACAAGATGAATTCATAGATATTTTCGAAGGAGAAGTTAATTCTTAAGTTTTTTCGTAGTCAAGGCAGTTATTATTTTAAATCTCAACTAAATTACAAATACAGGATTATTTCTCTAAAAATATGATATCCGTTAAATATAACCTTCATTCATGGAAGGATGGCTGAGTTTTCAATCTAAAAAAAAAGTTATCGGAAAACAACAAGATAATAGATCCCATAGAAAAGTGTGATTTCCTAAGCCGCTACCAAGTTAACTAGAGAAGAAGTAAACATAAAATTTATTTCAGATGTCTTATGTTCTCTGAACCCGGACGGTATAAATGAGTGAGCTTGTAGCGGGTTCAACTATGTGCTTCCAGCTTCCATTCCAAGATTACCTTAATCTGAGCATTGTGTTAGTGTTGATTGTTGTTTGTTTTTTCTTTAATAAATGTATGTACCTTGTGTGTGTTTGTTGGATTATTGACTCACCATTTCTTTTGTTCTCTTTTCTAGCTCTCCTCTCCCACACTACTGTGGTATTTGAATGAACTGATGATAACTTTGTACTTGTTGAATGCTTGATTTCGAATTCTAAATACAGTACATTCGTTTGTGGTCATCTAGTACTTCTTGATCCGATTACGTTATTTCTGAGATTCTTAGTTCATACTATAATAAAATACTTATAAATATTACATTAGCGTCGCGATGGAGCCTGTGATGGAATTGTTGGATGTACACTCAGATTTTGATGCTTTTGAGGATTACTTTGAAAGGTTCGAAATCTAGGCTATGGCCAAGGAAGAGGATGATGTTAATATCGTAGCACATTTCCTCAGATTCATCGGAAAAGAAGCATATAGCTTATTAAAATCTCTGGCTTTACCGGAAAAGCCCATTTCGCTTCCTTATACAGCTCTCAAGGAACTACTGCTAGACTATATTAAGTATACAAATTTCGAATGCGGTAAAGGAGGATGATTTCGTAAAATGATTCATGAGGATACAAAAAATTCCATTGCATTACGTCATCCCAACCCAGTGCATACTCAGGGTTATGCAGATAATTCATTGAGGAGTTGCGATACAGTTCATGAAGATGGGCGCAAGTTTGGTTAATGTTTGTCCTGTGTGGCAGATTTCACTTTTTCAATTCATGTAAATTTCGTAATTCCGGGTGCTTTAAATGTGGTGATATTGAACATATTAAGTCAGTTTGTAATACTACTGTTCGTCTTGCTGCAACTAATATTAAGTCTTGTAACTCTGATTCTATTAAGTCCAGTGTTCCTAATGATTATTTATCCTTATCAACGATTTCAAAAGACAGTGTAGAGTCATATAGCAGTTCCGAGTTAAATGAAACTCAGAATTCTTACGAGACAACAGATTCTAATCAATCAACTTATCGGATTTCTCATGTTATTGTACCAGATATGGTTTTTCCTAATGATTCACTTATTTCTGACGAAATTCCTTGCAAATCTGAGGAAAATATGTTGAATGAACCTAGTCATGATCGAAAACCTGATGTAGTTTTGATGGATGCTGATTTTTCTAATGATCCTTTACTCTGCAATGACATTCTTAATAAATGCGAGAAAACTATTTCAGAAGAATGAAATCTTGATGTTCTACCAAATATTATTTGTCCTCATAATGCATTTGTTTCTTGTGTGAAACTTGTTCGGTGTGATGCACAAATACTAAATGAGCTCGATTTTGATTACAATTCGGATGATTTCATATCAACTGCTGTTTATCCTTATCACAAAGTCACTTCTGATGTTTACTCTAGTCAATGTGTGAAAAATGTTTTAAATGAAGTCACATCATTCATAACTTGGGGATATAAAGATCCAACATTATTTCGTGGGGGAGGATACTCTAAAAGTTTATGGTTCAAATTCTAGGTAGCAGTGGTTTCAGTACACAACCGACATGCTGATTACACAATCCCAGGAAGCAGGTGAGTCTGTTCCGATTTCGGTTGTTAATTTCATTACTAATGAGCACATTCTAGATAATACAGAGTTTTTATCCAATACAATGTCGGACAGACACAGGATGAACTATCGATTATAGACACATAGACTCCAATTTAAGCTGTGACGGATGTGGTGTTTGAATGAACTAATGATTCGTTTGTACTTATTGAATGCTTGATTTCGAATTCTAAATACAGTACATTCGTTTGTGGTCATCTAGTACTTCTTGATCCGATTACGTTATTTCTGAGATTCTTAGTTCATACTATAATAAAATACTTATAAATATCACAACTACTCCCCATGTTTCCTTAGGTACACAAATTACCTTCTGGTTAGATCTAATGACTGCCCACAAACAAACGTATTTTAGTAAACAGGCAAAGTTATCAGAACATGCTAATTCACAGCTTCGAAGTAAGAAAACAGTGATTCTGTCGAAAACAACGATGCAAGTTCCTAGATGAACTATCTAGTTCCAGAAGTACATCACAATACAATAATACGAAGCGGAAATTAATTCGAAAAATGTGATGCATTAAAGCCATACATTTTCAGCAGTTTGGTCATACATATAATTACCAAGAGATCTCATCTGAAAATTAATAAATGGCACTTGGAACTTCAGGTAAACGAAGCGATGATTATAAATTAAGGCGAGAAGTTTATATAATATGGAAACAGTTGGAAGTTATCTCATTACTTTGGGTCAAAAAGTGGTTGAAAGATTATCAGGCCGAATTTATGGTTACGACAAACTATTTCTGCATCCATATTATCATAGTCTAGCCCCAGCAACGAGGAAAGTCGATTGGCTTATTGATGGGGAATGAAAAGAGGTTCTGTAAAGAAATGTAAAGTTGTAATAAAGGAACTAGTAAATATAAATGGATATTTGCTGATTAGAGATAGTAAATCTTCAATCCTAACTTGTGAATTCCCCACCACTGGTTGTGGACCACTTATGTTGGGCCAAGGAAATTTAAGAATTTTTCAAGGAAAGCTTTCCATATTGACCACTGAAGATGGTTCTAATGAAATGCTTGATAACTTTAACTACGGAATCGAAGTGAGGAGAATTATTCATGACTTCAAAGCCCTCTCATTACGATGCACAAGTACGAGAGTTCATGACCCTGAAAACAAACACTACTTATATTACTGCTGCAGGATTCAGAGGCCCGGAGAGTAGAGCAGATAAAGTCTTTCAGTGCATAATTAGCAGACCGTACTATAGTATTCTAATTATAGTATGAATTAGGAATTCCAGGATTAACGCAATTGAATTAAGAAGACACAGGCACAACGAATGTACTGTATTTAGAATTCGAAATCGAGCATTCAACAACTACAAAAGAATCATTAGTTAATTCAAACACCACATCCGCCACAGCTTAAATAGAAGTATAAGTGTTTGTAATCGGTTGTACGTCTTCTTGTTAAGTTCATCCTGAGTCTGTCCGACATTGTATAAGATAAAAACTTTGTAGTATCTAGAAAGTGCTCATTAGTATTGGAATTAACAAACGAAATCGGAACAGACTCACCTGGAATTGTATACAACCAGCATGTCGGTTTTGTAATGAAATCATTGATATCTAGAATTCGAACCATAGATTTTTCAACACTATCCCCCCCCACGAAATAATGTTGGATCTTTATACTCCCAAGTTATGAATAATGTGGCTTCATTTAAAACATATATCTCACATTGTTTAGAGTAAACATTAGAACTGTTTTTGTGATAAGAGTAAACAGCAGTTGATATGAAATCATCCGAAATATAATAAAACTCGAGGTCACTTAGTACTCGTGCTTCGCATTGGGCAGGTTTTTCACGAAGATCAAATACATTATGAGGATAGGTAATATATGATATGACATCAGGATTTGATTCTTCTGAAATATTCTCATGAAATTCATCAGGACTGTCGTTGCAGAGCGTAGGATCGTTAGAAAAATCAGCATCTATCCAAACCACATCAGGTTTTCGATCATGATTAGGTTCATTTAACATATTTTCCTCAGAATTGCAAGTAATTTCATTAGAAATATGTGAATCATTATGAAAAGTCATACTTGGTACAATAGCATGAGAATTCTGATAAATCGGTTGATTAGGAAATGTTGTCTCACAAGAATTCTGGATTTCATTTAACTCTGAACTGCCATATGACTCTGCACTGTCTTTTGAAATCGTTGATAAAGATAAATGATCATCATGAATACTCGACTCAGTAGAATCAGAATTACAAGACTTAATATTAATTGCAGTAAGATGAACATTAGCATTACAAACTGACTGAACTTGTCCAATATCACGACATTTGAAGCATTTAGAATTATGAAATTTACATGAATTAGAAGAGTGGAACTTGCAACAGGACAAACACTGACCAAACTTGTCCCCATCCTCGTGAACTCCATCCAAATTCAATGAATTGTCTGCATAACCTTGAGTATGCACTAGGTTGAGATGACGTAGTAATGTAGTGGACTTTTTTATATCCTCATGAATCATTTTACGAAATCTTCCTCCTTTACGACATTTGAAATTTGTATACTGAGCATAGTCTAGCAGTAGATCCTTGAGAGCTGTATAAGAAAGCGAAATGGGTTTTTCCGGCATAGCCAGAGTTCTTAATAAGCTGTATGCTTCTTTTCCAATGAATGTGAGGAAGTGTGCCACAATATTAACATCCTCATCATCTTCCTTGGTCATAGCCCAGATTTCGAACCTTTCAAAGTAATCTTCAAAAGCTTCTGAAGTTGAATGAATATCTAACTTTTCCATTGTAGGCTCCATCGCGACGCCAATATAGTATTCTAATTATAGTATGAATTAGGAATTCCAGGATTAACGCAATTGAATTAAGAAGACACAGGCACAACGAATGTACTGTATTTAGAATTCGAAATCGAGCATTCAACAACTACAAAAGAATCATTAGTTAATTCAAACACCACACGTACGCAAAAGAAACATTAATTCAATTGCTTAAACAAAAACGATTTCAGTTAAACAAAGAACGTTAACGGTCTATAGATGTTACATACTATCAGGTAACCGATTTCTTACAATAAAAGGAAGGTCTACTAAAAAATGTTGATAAATCTATGGTTGATGAGAAAGACTGTCACGACAACCGGATACGTTATAAGGATTCGGGTCAGTTCGTTCTAATTTCGGTTGTTAATTATAATACTCGTGATTACATTCCAGATTATAAAGAGTCTGTACCCAATACATAGCCGGAAAAACACTTGACAGACCTAAGGAGAAGACGTGTGTCTGTGTTCCCATTTGGATTGTGGTTGTTGTGTTATTTCTACGAACTAACAATTCCTGTGTACTTGATTAAGCGTTTTTTACGAATTTCAAATATAACACGTCATTTGCGATGATCTCGTTCTACGGTCTTAAAGTGCACTATTTCGGGAATTCTCAGTTAGCCAAATAATTCGAGTGCGGTAACCTACTTGCCAGTTCTCTCCTTAATACTTTCTATAACTTCATCTGCTGACTGACAGTGCCATATTACTGGCTTCAAGTTTTCTTTTTCTTCGGATGATAACCTTCTTGTCCATGGATCACAAACCATCCATGAACTACTACATGTATGATTGTGGAGCATGTTGTAGGATTTGATGACATATCCTTACTCCTCTAGTCTTACATGAAACTTAGACTAGCAATAACGGAATTTAGACCTTCAACATCAGATATTGGTTAAAGATCTCACGATTTTTGCTTCAATTTCAAACCTTCCGATTTCCGCTGATGACCAAATGTACAGTGAAACGTTACAAACAGGTATTTGAACCTGACATCCTTCAGCAACTTGCTTTCTGTGTGAATGTAACGAGTATAAGTAGTCTGAGCAGGGATAAAATTACTCTTCTATACTTTTTGGAAATCTTTTAGTGAGCCATCAAAGTCATCCCAGCACGCTAAACGCTTATTCACAATCATACTTTGAAAGGCATGGCTAAGGTCGACTGAAATGTCACTTGAGCATGAAGCACTACAAACAGAGATCATTAATTATAAAAATGTTATTCCTTGCAACAATAATAACACAAGGAAATACTACAAATACTTAGGATTTACTGGTGACTTGACATTTCGTTGAGGTTTACTACAGTAGTTGGGATCACAGATCAAATTACGAAGTAACAACAGAGCCAACGTGAACACTACAAAACAGAGAATGCTAAATCAATGCTTTTGGTAGTTATTTTGTGCTTTTTAATGCAGCATAAGGTGACTTATATATGGAAAAACTTGATACTCATGAAATCCAACAAACACACGGCAACTGAAATACGGAATAACCGCCTCTGATCAGGCTGTTCAACGTCGATGAAAGGAAACTGCGGATAGATTTGAATGGGATTACCGTTTTTTCCTTGCCTTTTAACCGTGCCATCGTGATTGTATATGAAGACACTTTTTATAGTGCTACCACAGTTTTTGTGGGTTTTTGTATTTCTACTTTAAATTCGGATCTTCAGAACCAAACAATCATTTTGAGCACGTTTAGACCAGGTTGCGCATTGTCACTAATTCTGATGTGGTGAGTAATTAAAACGTTCACTGAACAATTAAATATTTCATGTATTTAAATCAGTTATGACAACACAATACAATTTTATACTGCGTAGTCGCAATACTTACGATGACTTAAAAAATAGATCTAACACGAGAAAGAGTCTGAATATCTCTGCAGATTGTTTTATTAAAAAACAATGTAATTTATTTATTCTGTAGTCCTGTCTTATATTGTTACATTCACCCAGGACTTTTGTAGCCACCTCTGCTTTGTTTAGGCCTTTATTGTTCGCCTTTGGTCAGGATTCACCTTTATTAATTCATTTTATTGTTGAATAATTCCAGACCATTAACAGTAAGGTCGTGTTTGACTGAACTCAGGTTTACAATCTGCATAGGTTGCTCTTTGTTGACCTTCGACTACCTTCTGGAAAAGTTCTTTAAGGTAGATATCCAATACTGTTATGTTGATATTACGTCTATTGACCAACAGGTACAGAACTCTTATTTACTAATCATTCATCCGCTGTTTTTTACCCGCTTTCCAAGCCAGATGATCATTTTACTCAACTGAACAGAGGAAGAGTTTCCGCAAGAGCGACCCCACAGACTCATGTCTGCAGACAGAATTTGATGAGGCATTCAGAGAATTAATTACCATTAATGCACAAGGACTATCCAGCTCTTCTGACCCACCACACCAACAAATGCAAATGAAGACAACTAGTGTAGCACCAGCCTCTGCATCAGTAGGCATCAACATACACAAATGAAAGAGTGTGATCTTTAAATTCAACACAGAGAACACCAACCTAATCACACTTGATGGCGAAGCTCTGAAAGAGGTGAAATCTTCCACGTACATTGTCAGCATCATCGATGAACGTGGAGGATCTGATTCAGACGTGTAGGCTAGAATCGGCAAAGTAAGGACAGCATTCCTACAGCTGAAGAACATATGAAACTTGTAGCTACTGTGCTTCGCTAACCAATCCCCCTCGTGACCTTTATCATATAATCCTCAACGGCGTTTGAAATCAGAAGGCAAAGGGAAGAAGGGACCACAGTTTTATGAGCAGATAGCTCAGATCACAAAGCAGAGAGGCGAATGAGTGAGTCAGCGAACCGAGAGAGTGAATAGGATCAAGCGTATATATATCTATTGGGAAATGAGTGGATTATCAAATCAATTAGGCAGCTAATAATAAAGCTAGCAGGATGAATATATGAGTAGGCGGTAAGAAATGTTCAAGCATGCATATTTCATACAAGCACAACAATAATAAGGGTACAACAAATTGTTATAGTACGGATGACTCTATCCACTAAATAAATTAACAAAAGGGCTTAACTGAATTAAATGTGAACAAACTCAATCGCACGTGAGTACCTATAAACTCAAAATAACTGTCAACCCATATCAATGTCAGAATCCTTATTATGGCAGTCAAAGCAGTTCTACTGCATGGTGCTGAAACGTGGAGAACTGCCACAACCATCATCTAAGCAGTAAAAATATTTATAAACAAATTTCTACGGCAGATACATGAAGTAGGTTGACCGAATACCATAAGCAACAATCTTTTGTGAGAGAGGACAAACCAGCTTCCTCTTGAAGCTAATTTTGTTGTCTGACCTGCGGTCAGTGTGTTCCACTGATTCCAATCACCTCCAGGTTGCATGCTTTCACTTAAGCAGCCACTTGGATTACTCTTGTAGCGGTAAATAAATCCCCAAAATAAATAGCACTAAGTTTTCGAATACCTGTGACATCATCACTCTCCTTTTCTCTCACATTGTAATAAAATTCCATGTACTTAAAATAATTGTTGCTCTGGCTGTTAGAAACAGTATCAACCTTGTGACTTCCAAAGAATATCGGCTTTCATCATGAAGAGTCATAATTCTTCTTTCAACTCCCAGAGCACAGTTCAATTGATTTGGTTTGTTTATTGTGGTTAACACTTTTTAGCAAGTTTATTTTCTACGGGATCGGTTTGTCGACCACACGTTCAACTCTCCTCCTTTACCTGGGATGGGTCTGTAGCGGCATTAGACCATAACCATACAATCCTCAAAGCTGGACACGAGACAACTCGGAAAATAGATATTCAATATTTAACGCGGAGAAATACCTAACGATGAAGAAGGCGGGAAGAATGTGTCGAATGAATCGGAGTTGATCGAATGGCATGGCTCGGCCATGCAGGCGTGGTCCCTGCGGAATATTACCTTATATCTTTTATTCATATTAAATATATTGTTCTTTCTCTAGCCTAAACTTGTTCTCCATCATGTATTGGTAGTTGTTACGATACAGTGAGTTAGTGTAGACGATGATGTGTCTTCCATGTAAGATCTTATAGATTAGGCAGTTATATCATGACAAGTCTACAGCTTTAGGATTAGGTCCATTATTAGAGCAGTACTTACATCATAGAAGACCATAATTATACAGGTCCGGCAGTAGCTCTAGAACAGCTGTTGGCGGAGTTGTAATGAATTCGGGATATCTTCATAAAGCATTTTCATAACATGGCAATCACGTAATATGATGGGTAAAATCGATGAAACTATTACCAGACTTGGTTGACAAACTGATTTGTAATAATCATCAGGTAGTGATGTCTACTCATGTTTATCTTTATCTAACATAAATGATTTCAGTGTGTTTCTCTATCACATGCTCATTCATCAAACATCCTAAAACCTTATCAGCCTAAGTGAAGGTTTAGTGACACATTCATGCATATAAATTATCAGTATAAGTAGTCTAGAAATCCTCCTGCAAACTGAAAACATCATTTTCTAATTTAGTCCAACACTGACAGAGGTTCATACAATTATCATAGACATGAGTTAGGAGATGTACCCCTCTCGGCTACAATCTATGTTCTTCCTGTTTGTCATCTAGCAGAGACTTATTTAGCCGGAAGTATTGTGCAACTCCACATCACGAATATTTATAG